TTTACTTTGTATATGTTTTACAGATTCCCTAAATTAAAATTTTCTAAGTATCATTACCAAGGTTGGACATGATAATCTAGAACAAATTGAGCATTGAGTAGATTGATGATAATAATATGAATAATATATTTATACTTAAAATATTCTGTTTTGTTTCCATCATACTATTTAAATTTATGTTAGTTCGTTTATTTATTCGTACTCTCTGATGAAGCCGCTTACACACAGGAAATCTAGTTTTTTACTCATTAAGATTTTACAAGTATTTTATTCTTATTATACAGTTTCTTGTACTCATATTTCATAGTAAAGCTTCAGTTATATTAGTAAAATCCTATCTAATCCATCTCCAACCTTCTTATAGAATCTAAACAAATAAGTAGTCATAATCATAAGATTTCAGTAACCATAACTAACATAATAAAGTCCTCATCAGAATTATAGAGACATATCTTAACAATGATTTGAACTATATTCATTAATATTAAAACCCAATTTAAGCGTATCCTTGTACAATATTTACAAGTATGGATTGGTATATTGGATTAATCCATGATTTGAAATGTTTTCACACTGCATATTTGTTTAGTAATAATAATAATATTATTATTATTACCATTTAGTCTCTATTATTCTATTTGTTGTTGTAAAACATTTATTGTACTTCTGACGTTTAATAAATGTGCTGTCATCTTAATTACATAGATAATTTATCTAACCTATGCTTTCAAAAAAAAAGATTAGTGATTGTACGTGTGTATGTATGTGAACAAGTATTTGTATAATATAATATGTATTTGCCTGTTATTATTATTTATTATTATTAGAAGCTTTATTCAACATTATATTTTTGGTACAATATAGAATTCTCAGCATAAAGTATTTCAACAAGTTTCCTTTTCTTATATCTTGATCGATTGTGACGATAAATTTTGATTGATGACCAATTAGATGTTAGGAGTTCGGTAATCCACATTTGATTAATGTTCATTCGTTTCAATGCATATTGCCAGCCACCATGATGTCGGTGATTGTACCTTTTTGTAACCCGTACAGAGAAAGGTTGTAAACTTTTCATAAACGCGCCTGAATAGATTGTGAGCACAGTAGACATAATGATGTGCTAAAACAAACAAGAAAACAAATAACTTGATGAAATATCTAAATCGGAGGAACAGGTAGCCCAGATATTCAAGCAGGCCGCCACTGTTTATTCCATTATTCATATTAATTTTTTTCTTATTTTTACAATTTACCCTTGATTTCATGCCCATTTGACTAATTGAGAGAATTTATCTCTTAAGAAATTTAGAAAGATTATGTTGAAATTAAATAGTGTTTCAATCACTGAGTTCAAATAATTGTAATCTCAAAGTCATCTTATTACATATTTTCTTTTATAATGATAATTATTGATAAATAAATAAATAAATTTACATTTGTAGTATGCACGTATGTGTGTGTAGGTGCTCAGTTGATTGCATTATAGTTCACTGATGTTTGTTAACAACATACTAAATAGTTTTAATTGTAATAGAGTAATTCAATTTATTAATTGGTTTGCTCTCATTATTATTGTTAACATTTTTTGTTATAATAACTATGGTTTTGTTTCTGATAATAAAACATTGAGTGAGGTTAGTATTTAGTTCCAATGATTTGAATGACTGACTCTTCTTTACTGATTCTAGAGTTGGTGAGTGGTGACTCATTGGTTAAAGCATTCAACCTTCAAACACTGAGTCTTTGGTTCGAACCTTGTTTCACCTATTTCAGTTTTAACAGTCGGGTAGTGTTACTACTCTTCACACTTAAATCGTAGATGAAGACCAAGTAAAGGAATCTGTATTCCTCATGATTTAGTAAGAAACTATTGCTTAAAATATTAGAGTCTATACTATCTGTTTTAGTGATCCAAAGCATGGTTTACAGCTTAATTCATAAACATATTTCACCGATTTGTCTATTATAGAAATACATGTTAATTTCACTTACTTTCTTAGTGTACCTAAATTTTGATAATTACTCCTAATATCGTATACAACACATATTCAGTTACTATTGTCATTACACTCTTTCATGCTTTAGCTTTTTTGTTGAGAGTAAATCTAGGAATGATCTGATTGTGAATCGAAACTGATTTGGAGATGAATAAAACAATAAAAGAAATATTTCGTTGTTGTACTTCATAGTATTCAATAAGTGTTACACATGAATTCGCATGTTGTTTTCTATGTCGTAAGTGCATTTCATATTACTATATGGTTCCACAACATAATTATTGGGGACGTGAAAATTATATATATATATATATATTACCGGAATGTGGCTTAGTCATATGCTACTCAGTGTTTCAAACATGTTTTGGTAAATAATGTAAATCCGTTATGTTCAACACTCTACATGGGTGAGGTTTCTTAAGTGCTTAAATATTCCAAGTAATATATCAATGAAGTCTTACAGCATCAATCTCACTGTTTATTATGCTGTTTCAACTAACAGACAGAATGAATATGTAACAACAATGTGTTCTAATATGATAATTCTTTAACTACTTTCATTATCTTGCACAGATCAAAATAAGTATACCTTAAAAATTAATCTATAATAATTCAATTTTGTTTGTTGATCTGTATCTGATCTAATTTTTCTATTGAATGTAAATTGAACTGAATAAAATTGCTTGTTTTTTTTTCTAATTTCAATACAAGATAATATTTACACGGATTTTATTGAAATAAAAATTTATGCTGAATACTTTCAGTAAAAATAAAATGAGATTTCTTCCGTGAACTGCTTTGTAGTTGCTGTTGCAGTAGCAGTATTTTTTCTTCATATCTGAAAGTGTGTTTTCCCCTTTTTCCACTTTTTATAATAATAATAATAATAATAATTTTATTATTATTACTGCTATTACAACTATTGTGATAACCTTTAATCATAAATTTGCATTAATTAACGTGCTAATATAAGTCCTATTAAATTGTATTCACAAAAGAGTTTACATACAAATTGTTATTATTTTCGAATCAATCTGGATCATTTTTTGTTAACATTCAGTCATTTACATGTAACATTCCTTTATATGTCATAAAGCATAAGTTATGCTATCTTATCGAAATGATTATGATTATTATGTTGCTTATTCTGTTCTACTTTCTTGTTTAATTGTAAAATGTGTTGACTGAATTCCACTAAGGCTCTTCGATATTGAGCAACAAGATTACTTCTATCCTCTTTTTCCCTCCCGTTAACTAAAATGAAAAGTCCAAGTGGCATAAAAGTTTTTTCTTGCTAGAGAAACAAAAGAATAACGTTTTTATGAAATGAAATGGCATGCTCATAAGAAATATGAAGATAAGATAAATATGATACTATGTCACAGACGATTGGAGGAAATTAGTTTGTAAGTTTTTCACTATTTAATGAAGATCTAATTGTTAATCTTGGTTCTTGAACTTCGAATCACCCCTTGAGCGCTCATGACTAATTATAGGAGCCTTTTATTGAAACTGACTAATTCAAGTAATTCCCTTTATATGTCTATCTAATTTACCGTTTTTATTTAATTTCATAATGTATATCCTGCAAACAATAATTCCACTTTTGTTTGAAACATATTTTACACGTGTTGATTCGTCGGCATAGCATTCTTGATAGTATGAGTATAATGTCTAATAAAAACAAAGGCGGGTTAACTAAAAAATGATATCAGCCCTTTAAACCATTGACTGTTGGTCATAGACATGTTAGAAAGATACAGGCTATCTGCTTTGAGTCTGTTAGATAATCCTGATTTGTAGTTAGTGTTCTTAAACATTATAACTAACATGGATGTCAGAGACAAATTCATTCGTTCTTTTTGAATCTGTTTGAATATAACACTGCTGTTTATTTTGTATTTTCAAGTCCATTACTACCTCTGCTTGATATGCTAATTTCTTTACTTCAATAAATAATATTTTATGACCTTGATTTTCGTCTTGTTAATTTCTTTTCACTATATTGTTACATTATGGTGTAGCAACACGCTTATATCGGGTTCTAATGTTCCATAACTAAACGACTGGATTTAACGGTTTATTCTGCAGTCTTAGGATTATTCAAGTTACTGTGATTTTCATGGAACTCTAACATTGTCATTTTAGATGCATTACTAGATATATGTAGTCCAGTGTTTAAAAAAAATGGCGATCATATTTATCTGATAGTTTCTATTTTACCAAATGATATGATTCATAAATCTGACCATGATGCTAAAGCTCTCTCAAAATGAAATATGATACTTTTTAACTCATTGTACATTTAATCGCCGGCAAATATAGTCACATTGTTTACATTAAGTTTTCAAGTTCTTTTTAAGCATTTTGCTGCATTGTGAATCGGGTAAAGTTAGGACTGTAAACTCTTTTACTTATTATAATTGTTATTTGCTTTCCATAAAGCTTTGAAGGTCTTAGATTTGATCTCGTATCAGATCATAGGTGTGCAACACTAGTTGCGAATTCAGAATTTGAGTGTAATAGATGTCTAATTCAGCTTAATGTTAGGTAGTTGACAGGGTACCCTGGACTTAGATTTCGTGCTCTTTAGCACTCGTCAGCAAGATATACCTCTAATTTCGAAAGAACTGGTGCTGCTACCTGGATGATTCAATTCTGCATCACTCAGTCACGCAGTCAGAGACGTTAGTGGTGAGCTATTCGTACCGCTATTGACCTGTAGTCCACGCTAATATAGGGTCACTTAGACCAGTGGCCACAGCACAACTCAGTCAACAGAGTTCAATTAGCTCTAAAGGACTATATATAGGCAGTAGTCAGTCATTAGTAAGTTTACCTTTTTTATATATATAATGCATGCCCATAAATGTTATTTTTAGCATATTTAACTGAATTCTTAATGGTTTATTCTTGAATTGACAATCTTTTACATTGTTGTCCTGCATAATCACAATTCTTTTGATGTATATTTTCTCTCTCATTACTTGTTTCATCTAGTCGATACAATAGATTCTATGGTACAAACAGAAAACAGTTGCTTTTTCAATTCAATACTTACTCCGTCTGTCAGATTATCTGCTTTAAATATGGTGAATAATGCTTTACAAAGAATAGGAGTAAGTTTGAAAGTCTACGATAAGCAACAACAATATTAATTAATCTACAATTTTACTATTTGCGTGTATACGTTCGTTTGTGTGCCTGCGTATCTTTCTTTAGCTACGGATTCCGACATACAGGTGTATATACTTTAAATTTTGTTTTTGTCAAAGTAAAATAGAATAAATATTAATTGTTGTTGTTTATCAAATTACATTCTGTTGGAACAAATTGATTTTAATAACCATAAAGCACCGAACAGCTGTTTAATCCTGTTTATGCTACTCTACAGCAGTGTGCATCTATGACCTCACCATCGCGGATCGAACCCAAGACTTTCAATCTTGCGCTCTAACGCTTAACTTTCAGACTACTGAGCCGAAATCAAATAGTGTTTATATCTGACTTCAACCATTTCACGATATTGTGCTGTCATCTATTGTCTGTGGTTATTAGTAACATTCTGTAATCTCTGCAAACCTCTATACTGATAATTTTAATGATTTGTTTTGATATTCGTTCCTTTTTTATTCTCTATAGCAATTAGAAATGAAATTATCTATATTGTATAAGACGTACGGTCATCCTCCACTTTCTGCGCCAGTATATAATGGTAATAGTAGCAGTAATAACGGTAATATACACTCTCCATCATCCGATTTCGAATTGAAAAGATACAATTTAAAGTCACCACAAAGATTATCTAATCCAAGTTGGACAAATGGTCCTATTAAATTGTAAGTAATGTTCATTGATTGGTTAATATGTGCATTTTCAGTTATTACTTTTTCGTTGGTTTACGCAAACTGAGAGATATTTTACATTATTCATTGTTGTTACGGACGTTTTCACAGTAATGTACTGGAGGTAATCGAATGACTTTCTGTTGAAAGCGTTCTTATTTCATTCAATTGGTTTCTCTAACGAGTTTGAATAAAGCTCAAACAACATTTGATACAGAATATTATGAATTCATTTTTTCTGACGGTTTTGCATCATCTGCTTATAACCATATATATATATATATATAGCTATTATTGATGATCCTTGTAACTCTAATTCTTTCCATCATCAATGTCGATTACTTCATATTATAACATATCTCAATGCTACACTTTAATACAAACATGGTTATCAGCAGCTGATGATGAACCACTAAACATTATTCTTCAGTCCGATAATTAGATTTTTATTTCCTTTGTTCTTACGCTCATAGCAAATTACAATATCCGGTGTTTATTGTAAATATCTTTTTACAATTCAAAGAACCACAAATATTTAGTGTTTCTTTACACTGTTAACTTCATACTTTTGTTTGTATCATATTTTCGTATTTTAATAGTTGAATTCATGAGTCAATTTTCGTATTTTATATTATTATCATTATTGATTATAGGGTTTACATCTATATTTTTGAATGCGATGAAAGTGCAAACTTTTCTTCAGTATTAACCTTAGACATAAAATAACCCTGTTACAGGCTTATACTTAAATAACATTCAGGCAACAGTCATATTTAATACGGTTATGATATTGATAATCAAATTTATCGTGTCAGTCAGGTCGTTGTAATCTATGACAGGGTTTCTATCCATAGGGTTTAATCTTTTTTTTTTACTACTTTCTCTTAGGACTTGATATCTTGGTAAACGTATTCAGTAAAATGTCTGGGAGCTTTTTCGGGAGGATATGTTATTAACCCATTTTACTTGGTAATTTATTAAACCTTATTTTAATATATCCCTAGATTACTTACTTACTTACTTACTTACGCCTGTTACTCCCAATGGAGCATAGGCTGCTGACCAGCATTCTCCAACCCACTCTGTCCTGGGCCTTCTTTTCTAGTTCCATCCAATTCTTGTTCATTTTTATCATGTCTATCTCCATTTCTCGGCGTAATGTGTTCTTTGGTCTTCCTCTTTTCCTTTGACCTTCAGGATTCCATGTGAGGGCTTGTCTTGTGACGCAGTTGGGTGCTTTCCTCAATGTGTGTCCTATCCACTTCCAGTCCTTCTTCCTGATTTCTTCCGCCGCTGGGATCTGGTTTGTTCTCTCCCACAGTACGTTGTTGCTAATAGTGTCCGGCCAATGGATCTGAAGTATTTTGCGTAGACAATTGTTAATAAACATCTGTATTTTCTGGATGATGGCTTTTGTAGTTCTCCAGGTTTCTGCCCCATACAGTAGAACTGTCTTGACATTTGTATTGAAAATCCTGACCTTGGTGTTGGTTGACAGTTGCTTTGAGCTCCAGATGTTCCTCAGTTGTAAATATGCTGCTCTTGCTTTGCCGATCCGCGTCTTCACATCTGCATCAGATCCACCCTGTTCATCAATGATGCTGCCCAAATACGTAAAGGTTTTTACATCTTCCAAATCTTCTCCGTCAATTGTGATTGGATTGGTGCATTCTGTGTTGTATCGGAGAATCCTGCTTTTCCCTTTGTGTATATTGAGACCTATTGCTGCTGAGGCTGCTGCCACACTGTTTGTCTTCTTCTGCATCTGTTGTTGCGTTTGGGATAGAAGGGCCAGATCGTCTGCGAAGTCTAGATCATCATCCAACTGCATCTTAGATGTCCATTGTATCCCGCGCTTTCCTTCAGACGTTGACGTCTTCATGATCCAGTCGATCACCAGGAGAAAGAGAAAGGGTGAGAGTAAGCAACCTTGCCTAACACCGGTCTTCACTTCGAACGACTTTGTCAACTGTCCTCCATGCACGATTTTGCAGTGTAATCCATCATATGAGTTCTGTATGATATTGACTATATTCTGAGGCACGCCGCAGTGTCGAAGAAGTTTCCATAGTGTTGTTCTGTCCACGCTATCAAATGCCTTTTCGTAGTCAATGAAGTTGATGTAGAGTGATGAATTCCATTCAATTGATTGTTCCACAATGATCCGTAGAGTTGCGATTTGGTCTGTACACGATCTATCCTTACGAAATCCTGCCTGTTGGTCACGAAGTTGGGCGTCTACGCAGTCCTTCATCCTGTTTAACAATACCCTGTTGAAGACTTTTCCTGGTATTGAGAGAAGAGTGATGCCCCTGTAGTTATCACACTTGCTGAGATCGCCTTTCTTCGGTATTTTGATCAGAAGTCCTTCTTTCCAGTCTGTTGGTACTTGTTCCTCATCCCAAATCTTATTGAAGAGAATGTAGAGTATCCTTGCAGTTGCCGCCACGTCTGCTTTTAGTGCCTCTGCTGAGATGTTGTCCGGTCCTGCTGCTTTGCCACTCTTGATTTGTCTGATGGCCATGCTGATTTCTTCAATTGTTGGTGGGCCAACATCGATTGGGAGGTCCGTGGGTGCTGCTTCGATTTTGGGTGGGTTCAGTGGAGCTGGTCGATTCAAGAGTTCTTCGAAGTGTTCTACCCACCTGTTTTGTTGCTCTTCAATGTTGGTGATTACCTTGCCTTCCTTGCTTTTCACTGGTCGTTCTGGTTTGCGGCGATTTCCAGAGAGTTTCTTTGTCGTGTCATACAATTGTCTCATGTTTCCTTCTCTTGCAGCCTTTTCCGCCGTCGTTGCTAAATCTTCCACATATTTACGTTTGTCGGTTCTGATGCTCCTCTTCACTTGTTTGTTTATTTCCGTGTATTCAGCTTGTGCCTTGGCTTTTTCTGCTCTTGTTCGGCTGGTATTGATCGCTGCCTTCTTGTTCCTCCTTTCTTGAATCTTATCCAGTGTACCAACAGTGATCCATTCCTTGTGGTGGTGCTTCTTGTGACCCAGGACCTCATGACATGTTGAAGTGATTGCCTCTTTGATCCCCTTCCAGTTGCTGTCCACAGTAGTTCCTTCTCCATTGAGTAGATCATGAAAGGCCTGGAACTTGTTGCTGAGGACTATCTTGAATTTGTTGAGTTTGTTAGTATCCTGGAGAAAGGCCGTGTTGAACTTTTGTGATACTGTCTGCCCCGTTTTCCAGTGCTTCTTGAGTTTCAATTTCATCTTGGCGACCAGTAAGTGATGATCTGATGCTATATCAGCTCCTCTCTTGGTTCTCACGTCCTCTATAGTCCTCCTGAACGTTTTGTTGATGCAAATATGGTCGATTTGGTTTTGTGTAGAGTGATCCGGTGAAGTCCATGTGGTTTTGTGTATGCGTTTATGTGGGAATATGGTGCCGCCTATGACCAGCTTATTGAAGGCACATAGATTTGCAAATCTCTCACCATTTTCGTTTCTTTCTCCCAGTCCGTGTAGTTCCATGATGTCTTCATATCCAGTGTTGTCCGTTCCAACCTTGGCGTTGAAATCTCCCATCAGAATGGTCAGGTCCTTTGTTGGGCACTTCTCGACTATTGACTGCAGCCTATTGTAGAATTGATCTTTAGCGTCTTCATTGTAGTCGTTGGTAGGCGCATAGCATTGGATGATGTTCATTGAAATGCCCTCTTTCTTTGTTTTGAAGGAGGCTTTGATGATCCTTGGTCCATGAGATTCCCATCCTATAAGCGCATTTTGCGCTTGTTTGGACAGCATCAATGCAACTCCTTGTGTATGTGGTGCATTTTCTTCTTCATGGCCGGAGTATAACAGGAGCTCTCCTGTAGTTAGTCGTTGTTGTCCAACTTGTGTCCAATGTGTTTCACTGATCCCAAGTACCTCTAGGTTGTATCTTCTCATTTCTGCAGCAATCTGGAAGGCTCTTCCGGTGTCTTACATTGTACGAACATTCCATGTACCTAAATAAATGGTCGCTCTGGTTGTCAGAAGGGGCATCGGCCTCGTAACTTCCGAAGGGATTCGGCTTTCATCATGAGGCGTCATAATTCTTCTAAATGAAGATCTTCTGACTCCCAGGGCAGAGTTTAAAAGGTTTGAATAATTTTTTCTGGTTAGCGTTTTTTTAGCGAGTTAGTTTTCTACAGGATGGGGACGCTAACCCCATGCCCAACCCTCCTCCTTTATCCGGGCTTGGGACCGGCAGTAGCCCCCGGAGGGACTCCAGGCGGAGTTATCCCTAGATTAGTTCAGTACATATTCTTAAACTTGATCGTTGCGCAGCAAACATGATAATTACATAAAATACGAAGGCTCATATGAGATGTATTGGGAATAATATATTTCATGTGTATAGATTCAATAGACCAAACGGTAAAGGCGAAAAAACGATGATATTTGGCTTCTGACTTGTCTGTCAGATCAGGCATGGGTGGTGTGGTGGCTTTATTTGTAGAGTCATTTAATACGGTGACTAGGCCCATAAAAAAGTCATATGTATGGAAAAGGTACATTGATAAACGTTAATAATTAACCATGTGGGTACTTACTAACTAGCTAATGAGATTAAAATAAATCTGCCCCATAATTTGTACACTTTTTAATCTGTTGACATAATGATAGATTTACGTAGGGGTGTCGTAAAAGTGGTTATTACATTCGGATCTAAGATGTAATATTTGAGAAACTATGTTTTGAGTTTTTTATTGACTCCCTCCCTCTCAATAACGAACCATTTTCATACTTTACCCTTTGTACTCCATATCTGTCACCCAATAATTTTAAAAATGACATGATCGGTTGTTATTATTTTAAGATGAATATAAAAGTCAATAATTTGTGCAGCGATTACCGTCTCAGCAACAATGGGTTCTAGTAGTCAAGCCATCACTATTTCGGATTCAAGTCCGAATGTCATTACAGCCAAAGATATTTTTCCCTCAGCTTACTAGATCATTACATATTTGATCAAAATTGTATGAACATAGGCATGTTGAGCACTAAAACCAATCTCTATTTGTTTAATATTTATGTTCATACTCTCAGGATTTATCGTCATGACTGGAGAAAAAATATACTTGTGATATTTCTCGATTTGCTTTATGTTCAGAGGTGTAGTGACTTAATGCACCTCGAAGTAAACCCGACGTTGTCAAATTATCTAAGTGTATCGTAATCAGTAATTACGGTTATGTTTTCGTTTATTGAGTCACTCAGTTGTAGATATTCTGTAAAAATTTCTATTATAAAATTTATTTGAGGTAAAACTGTTGCCATAATTTAATCTTTCTCCCATCACGACTGACTGCCCTACACTTGACGCGTCCGCAACATGATGAAGTGGTATTTTCGTCGTAGAATATTTTACATTTTTCATGTAAGCTAGCTTCCAATCAACTGAATTCCATTCAATCATTTTTGTTATCGTTATAATTCGGTCGTAACGGGTGACATTATTCTTATAAACAACTGGTTAGATGTTATGTGATCCATTTACATTATAAAATGTTTCCAGATTTTTTTCACTTTGGTTGTCCAAATTTTGCTTTAATTTACAATGTCTTGATTTTACAACTAGCCTTGTATGTATGTGAAAGACTGTCAAGTCGCTAATAACGCACGTATTACAAACAAAAATCTGGGCATGTATTGAAGTATTGCATGAAGGTGTATTTTCTGCATTAAACTACACTTGGCTCATTATTCTGAATACATGAATAAACTTATTCAGAAGCATTTCTCTTACCTTAATCGATAAAACTAAATTATGCCGTCACTTTCCATATCTGAGGTAAAGACTTAAGTCTTGTTTTTCTTAGAGTGACGACAAGAGTACGCTGTCATATTAGGTTTTTCCACTGGGATATTTTATTCATTTCATTATAAGCTTATCTATAGTAGTTTTTTCTTAATTTAAGTGCTTGACAGTTACTTCATTCACTTTCATAACCGTCGTCTTGTGATTAAATCAAATAACGAATGTGTTTTCTTTCGAATCCATTTTATTTTACGAAGTAAAGTGTTAACTTGTGATGTGACTCTAGCGTGTTATGTATATCACAATAATCAGCATAGACTATTCAGTCCAAGAAGTTAATACATCTTACCTTAAAAATCAATGCTAAAGATCAGTATATAGACAGTATATACAGTATACAGTCTATAGACGCTAGTTATTTTGTGAGCAGTGATTGTAGGATTTCATATTAGTTAGGTTTGTTAATCTTTAATTTGTACATTTAGGTCTGGAATTTTCATCAAACTTCTAAGGTTATATCTTTTTTCTTTGACTACTTGATAGGTCATTTATTTAAAGATTGCTTGGTAACATTTATGTTACATAGCAGTTTACTCTGCATTACTTTATAGTTGTTGCGTATAACACCTAACAATTTTCTGATCATTCACGCATTACTTACAATTGATTGATCACTGAGTAGTAACCACTGTCATATATCTCAAGTCTTTTTTAGTGCTCCTCAGCCCTCCTTAGTGATATTCGTCACCATTCTGTGGCAAATCTATTGTAAATACATCTTAGTCTCACATGAGGTCATTCATTGCCCGGATAGCTCGGTACTAACGTCTCCAGCTGTAAAGCTGGATCCAAATTCGGCAAGGAGAACCAGTTCCCACAAGAATTCAGATACACCTTGCTGACGAGTACCAAATAGCACAAAACTAGGGTTTCCTGTCGAATACCTCTGATCGCCACCTTACAAAGTTTTACTTATACATAGTCGAACCAAGGAGTTGGTTATTTCGAGACTCGTTTTAGCGTATTAAGTTAAGAAAGTGAGTAAGCTACTGAGTTAATGAACTCTCTTAAATTAAAATGTTTGTAGTGATATTTTAATCTATCGACTCATTGTCCTCGTTGATCTACTTTACTTTTCTTGAAGTATATGTATAGATCATAAAAAAATTCAGTTTTATCGCAGGTACACATGTTTCTAGTTTGTAAATCTATTTGTAACTATATGGAAATTTGTAGAACACTGGTCTTGTTAACTATTTTGAAAGTTTACGTAAGTGTATAGATTTCTTTCGTGTCACACCTTACACTGCTTTTTTGAACCTTCTTGGATGCTACTCGATAATTGATTACACTTGAATGATCATTCATTGTTCGTATTATTTTTGTCTCGTGGAAATGTGTAACAATATATGAAGTTTTAACTAATAGAGTATGGATTTCGAAACTTCTTAACGTTCAGTACTACTACTACTACTACTTTGAATCTTAAAGTATATTAAGTACCGATCGCTAATAGACTCATGAAATAATAATTTGTAGTCGATTGCTTAGACTATCACTGGTTCATAGTGTTAAGCTGTTGATTTGTCACAGGTCATTGTTGGATCATAATGTTTAACTATCAAAATTCAATCCCTCTCATATATAATTTTTTATTCTAGTAATACTTGAAATTCACTGTCTCTTTTTGAATGTAACTGACAATTTCTTGTTTATTGTTGTTGAACTTTGTATATTTTAATGTTATTATGATTACTGAGAATTAAAATTATTATTGAGGAAAATTTATATAATAGATCATCTTAGACAATTTATTGTTATTGTTCCTTTTTTTTCTCTTCTTTATCTTCAGAGATCCTCTTCCAACTGCAGAAAAATCATCTCGGGAAAATTCTATACATTTTGTTCATTGAAATTGATTTATATTGTAAAGTACATTGAAAAGAAGTCAATTCATTTTATCTTTCTATACATCTTACCCCTATTATATAACGAAATATTATTTATGTAAAGACTGTGTTTCTTATTGTATTTGTGAATAATCTTTATTTTGGATTAAGAAAAACGGTGCATTTCATCAATTTTCCACGTTTAACTCAGAATCTCTTATTATTATTATTGTACAATTTGTCAGGTGTTCTCCTAAGAAGATAAATCTTTTTCAACACTGAAATATTCTAATTATCACACTTATAAGATTCTACTTATTCTGATAAATCTTATACAAAGTAATCTTTCTCTTTTTGCATGAACCATGGTGCTCACAGTTACCGTTCAGCTTTCATTCTGTTCCAGCTACTCCTCTTTATTCTCTTTCTACTGCTTTGTAAAATTATCTTATGTAATTCATTATACTGAAGTCTATGGTACTTGCTATCTCTTTCTATATCTATCTGTTCATGTATCTGTTTGTTCTATTCAGTTTTCTTTTTTTTCCAAAGCACTACAAGGAGGCATTTTCCACTTAATACATGTATGTGTGTGTATGTATAATACCAGTTAAGTCACTTGTTAACAAATAAGAGGATAACTATGATTTTCATATAAATTATTTTCATTCTCATCTGTATTTATCACATCATATAATGATATTCATTAGTTTTATTGCACTAACACGTATATTGTAACTGATGAAAAGAAGCGGGCGTAATATATTCATTATTTTATTTTTGTCATTCATCTTATCCCTTGTATAGTTTGTCTTTCTCCTAAAGTTTTCTCTTTTTCTGGTCATATATATCTCATGCCCTCCCCTCTTTTTTTTAAAGTTAATCTTTTAGTTTCTATCATCTATTTTGTATTTCCTGTAACTATCAAGTCGGAATTCATTTTACCGCCAAAACATATTAACATTATCATTATTATCACTTGTTTCTTTATTTAAAATATATTTCTTATCATTTTTTAAAATTTCTTTTTGTCTACAATTGTACAATCTGTCATTGATAAAATGTTAATTTTTTTTCAAAATGTATATTTATGGTGATTGAATTGTACCTACTCGAAAATGGTCCAACATAACAGTCATTTCGAATAAAAAAAACCTAAGTAATTCATAAGTAAAATGTACATTAATAGGTATTATGATAACGACCAAAATGGTATACAATACAATGTTTTTATCACTGTTTATTGTTATTATTATTGTTATTGGGATACAATAGTAGAGTAGTGGGTTTTCTATTTTGCTTACTTTTTTTCTCTAGTCTGTTATATATACTCTCATGTTAACAGACTAGTAACCACGCTTAGTTCAAGTGGAGAGAGGGTTGGTCATGTTTCAGTTGATCACAGTTATTTACGTCGTATACTGTATACGTGGAATCACTTCGTGTATTTTCGCACGATTATGTTTAAGGTGTCACTAATATCAGTAATTTTATTTTTTGAAAATAAGAACTTATAAATTTCAAAATATTGAAACATTACCAATACAAAATTATCAATGTGTAACTCACTAACTGGATGTGTATTTTTACTTGCAGTCTTGATCAAGCAAGCTAATTCAGTTTTAGTAGCTTCTCTTAGAAGTGTTCAGTTTAGAATGAATGGATGCGTTACACAGTTTACTATATATCTTTACATTATTGTCAAATTACATTTTAATCAGTAGTTATACAAGAAACTTAAAACAATGTAGATATAGTCTTGTTATTAGTTCATTGACTACATTTGTTGATTTTGACTTATTTAAGAGGTTAAGAATTTAGAGTTAATAGTCATACGCTATTCCGTTCGAACGATAATTTTACTCATTTTCACCATTGAATATCAAGTAAATTATAATTAAATTTTGTTCTTTTAGAATCATTCAAATCGAAATTTCGAGGCTGATAGCTTTCATCTATTGTTCAATTTTTGTAGGCATTTCTTTTTCACGGTACCACATTTTTCTTGTGTGTATTTACTCCATATTCCGCTACAATATTCATGTTCTCTTTATATACTAAACGTTAGCTGTCTATCTAACAAAATGAGTTGCAAAATGAAATATCAACATTTTAAATTTCACATATGATTTCCACATTGATAATCAATTGAACACATTGAACTTAATTCGTTTTATTTCTTTTTAAAAGTTGACTAAAACTATGCATGACGTTCAAATTATTTAGTTAGCTTTACTATAATTAACACATTAAACCGAACCTTGTCATTGATCTATTTTATAGCATTGTCACATAAACTTTGATCAAATTTATTACAGGACAATACTTAATTTGAATAAAAATAGAATACCTTCATGAATAAAGAACTTGTAATGCTGTCTATTATTCATACGATATATATATATATATAACATCTGTTGCCGACTGCTCACAAGTTATTATGTCCTAACTATAGAATATTCATTCTATCTTTGAGTTTGACATTCAAAATAATTAAATCGATTGTGTACAATGAGTAGAGATACAAAGCATTGTGACTTGTTAGTCTGTTTTTGATAAATTACATTCTCTGACTGCAAATCAATAAACTGTATAAACCAATAGTATAGGGCTATATATATGCAGAGAAAATTATAATTAAATTAAATAATAACAGGCATTAGTAAATAACCGATTAGACGTGGTCAGTTTTACAATAAGGTTAACTTCCATTAATTAGTTAACTTCAAACAAGGTTTTGTTGTTGTTGTTGACCTAATTTCATGTACGAAATTGATCAACCTTACTTATTTTTCCTGTGTTCATTTAACTTTTAAGAAATAGAAATATTCTCTTGTTTTTCTTATAATAGTCATTTTGAATGTGTTTTGTTTCTGGATTTCTTGTTTCAAGTAGTAATTGTTAAGTCACTTTACTCCATCTAAAATGTTGCCAACAAAAATGTAATTAATAAATAATTTGTAAAGTAGATTTTAAACCTTGATTGCAGGTCATGAAGTTAGACGATCCCATTTACGTCCGAAACGACAGTTCGTATCACTTCTTAAAAGATTTCTTTAAACAATAAGTAAAATAGTAAATATAAGATATCTCGTAAATAATGATACAAACTATTCCTACAAGGTCAGTATTAATGTTTGTCCAGTTTTCTAATTAGTAGCTAAAAAACAAAACTATCAGACTGTGTATTACTGAATGCTATCTCATGTTGAACGTGTAGATATCGAAGAAAACTGAGAGGTCTCAGTATTTGTCATTGTACCATTCAGCTTTAGCATGTCAGATTGCAACATGAAAACATATAATAATTAATACGCTCGTTCAGAAGAATAACTGTTTCTTTTTGAACCTATGGAAATTTATGTACGGGAAGATTTTTAAAATTGAAAGTTTTTTCCTAAAAGGTTTTGAATTGGATTAGTCTCCACGGTGGACATTCGGATTCTTATTAGAAATTTAAATCGCAATCAATATTCATTTGTCAGTATGGATGTTGTGGGGATTGTTGAATTTTCCTGAAACCACAAACCGACCTAAGTCAGATGAATACTAGAAGCTCTAGACAGCCGTTTCGTTCTAGTATGGGGATCCATGACTCTACATCCGGGGTTATAACTGCCTAGGAGTTCAATACTAGGAAGAAATAGCCGTTCAGCTTCTCAATAGTTGTCAAACTTAGATCGGTTCATCATCTCAGTAAAATTCTTTACGTTAAGCCAATCAATCCGTTGAGCTGGAGCTCACTCAAATGAACATTTGTCACGGAAACATAATATTCATTTTCCAGCCAAACACCTTGAGATAATACTTTATTACGACAAGTGAAGTATTAGTTTGGCGAATACCAGTACTAACAGTTCGTTCATGTAATACGTGGATAATGTTGCTATTCTGACATGGACCGTATGATAGCAATCTAAAGTTAGCTTAAGCCCCCAAATGCCCTGGTATGGCCGAGAGTGGGGTGGGCCCGCCCTCCCTCTCGAAATGCTCTCACATGGTCACGCGTATGCAGCCTCTGCCAGGGAAGTCCTACTCATTGCCTTCTTGTGGCGGGGGTGTTGTTTACGAAAATGAGAGGACGAAAAGCGAATGTCCGGCGGTTTAACTGGATTCCAAACCAATGGTGCACATGGGCTCCAGTATCTTGCGGGAACAAATGGCATATGAACCCATCGCTGGTCACCGGCTATCATGGGACTGCATCTCCTCACGATGCTCCACTGCCTTTTGGGTCGGACCTTAAGGTCAAAGGCTCGGGGTGTGGCCCCCTAAGATAATCACCTGTTTCCGTCTGGGCACCCGAGCAGTATCACGGCCCACACACAAAAGTGTGGCGGATATATATTTGGTGCCCTCTTGTACCAATATTTATGTGTTCAAATAAATAAATAAATAAAGTTAGCTGACTAATTGATCGCGGTTCATAAATTTAAGTAAGAGGCGTAAGTAAGTAAATAAGCGATCTCGTATAAACTACAGATGATTGCGCATCTCAAAATTTAGTAACAGCAGCACTAATCCATTTGCTTTAATTCTAATGAATAGTTTGTCTAAGAAGCATTAGTTTGGGGTAAGTCATGAAAATAAATTTAGATGGAACCAAACTTTGACTTTGCCTGAAATTCGAAACTCTCTGACCTCTGGCTAGCATCCTAATAAGAGCTCAATAATACTTTCTCTTACTTAATTCTGTGGACGACTAAAATTGATAAGCATGTTTGTTTTACAATCATACAATCGATATTACATTGGTTGAAAGTTAAGTTACAAAAGCGTCTGCTTCTCACGTAAATTGTATCCAGAACGAAAATTACACGATGAGCACACTTCATATGATTTAGGACATAAGCTAATCTGTTTATGGTGTATCACAAATTAATATATATGGTAGAACGCTGACATTATTCACTTGAAATTTGCTTGTTTCTCTACGATTATATCTTCATTTATATAACCTCTGTTCACATTTAATAACAACATGGTGGAATTTTATAATCCATTCTAGTTATCACGGAGATTATCATTGAAGTGTGGTTACAAAGTCATCTCATATACTGTTGGTTAACCGTCAGTTAGTGTAGATAAATGTAACTTAATGTTAGTTTCATAAATTCAAGACTGAAGAGTGCAAAAAAATTAATGAAAAGTAAGTGCACTGGAAATTAATCAATGAGAGAGAATAAAAAGGTAATCAAAATCGAGCTTAATTCATTTTGGTACTTTTAACATCGTTATTCTTCTTATTTTGAACACATTACAATGAAAAGCAGACTACTGTGCTTTCAGAATTTCTATCTAGACGGTCTTCATTTTGCTGTGTGACTTTGGTTGTTAACTTTTGTATATTCAGTGAAGTGAATAAGCAGTAAGTTCACATAGAATTGAAAAGGTTTTTCATCGTAGGTAGTTTCATCCTTAAATATTCCAATATGAAACAACCTCAGTTACTCTTTTCTAAAACAGTTCATCACTTCAAAACACTGAATTTGGTTTTCTTATGAGTTAATGAATAGTTAAATTCGAAAAATCTTTCTCGTTTTCTGTATAAATCAAATGTGTTAGAAAAAATGAATTCAAGTTGAATGATTCCTTTCAAAAGTCATATACGATACAAATGGGACTACTTCATTTAAAAACTAGATTTCGAATTTGCACTTGATCGTAAATTACTTGATGTAATAAATTTGATTCCTCTTTTTTTGTTAGTAATAAAGGATCTATTCTCTGATAGCTTTCGATCATAATAGTACTATACCGTAAATCATTTTAAATTTCTGACTTTGAAAATAAATTATACCATGATGAACATCTGAATTTTAATTCGATATACAATACTGAGTATTAACTGCTAAAAGTATCCTCGTCCAAGACTAAACATGTGTGCAATATCAGAAGGGACTTTTGTGGATGTTATTGTAATTTTAATAGTTGACATCATGAGTCAGTTGAAGCTAGACCACTTTGGAAGCATTGGATGGCCGTTTAGTCCTATTGTGGGACTCTTCAGTTGTGTGCATCCACGATCCCGCCTCGCGAGATTCGAACCCAGGACCTATCGGTCGTTTTGATTTTTCACAATAAAAATTAATTGTTGTTTGTGGGCGGCAGATTAGAGGACAGCTAATTATCGATCGGACCAAAGACGCGCAAACACGTAAGAACGGCCTAGGTTTTTGATTGATCCCCCTTTCCTGTCTAGCCCAGCCAGTTGAGTCCAGAACGCAAGTCTCAGCCTC